TTAACAATGTACGACAGCAAGTGCATTCCCTACAGCAAAGTTGTCGTCAAAGCATTATGGCGAGTTGATAAATGCTAATTTTTGAAGAACGACTTTGATGCATTATACCTAAGCCAGAATCTTTAATGCGGGGCTGCAAGTCATATCAGAGGACTTATTAGGAGGGGAAAGGACTCCTCGCCAGTGTACGAAAGGAACGAAAGACTGCAACGTTCAAGTTTGGCGAGGATTGGCAAGCCCGTGTAGACGAACACCAAACTCGTACACGTATCGTTTAATGCAAAATGCAGAAGCGGTAGGTTGCATAATTAAAGGAACGTAAAGGTCACTTCAACGGACTAGCATAGATAAACGCGAGAGGCATAAGTTTACCAAATGCCACTGCACATATTTGAAACCCTTTTCCATATCTTAGAGTGAACTAAACCAACACAGTCGTTGCATTTGCAACTTGCACTTCTAGTTCCCTTCTATTCAAATTAGGCAAATGTTTTCGGCTCGGGTAATAAAACCATTGTACGTTCCATGTTGTGGGTAAATTTAGCTTATCATAATTTCCAATTTATGTACCAACGCATTTCTCTCAGCCTAAATACTAACACTACGAAGGGATGGACTAAACTCATCACCTAAAATAGTAATGAAGAAGTCTCATCCACTTTGGCCAGTTGGTGTTATTGAATTGCATTTGAGTGTGCTAAATTATGCGGCAGTCAAACTATCCGTTGATCGGCATTTCTCGACAATAGTCAACTCGACTTCTCCCTTCCGTCGGTTAGAATACCCTTCGACTGTTTGGCAAATGTCGGCACACAACTTGAATGTCTGTTTTTCTCAGACTGATTTGCGCCCCCAACTTTGCTACTTTTACTCGCACGACGATTTCTTTGGCGGTGAATTTGAAAACTGTTTTGTGGCAGTCTGCGGAGGCGAAACAAATTGAATTGAAATGTCACGGCTTTTGAGCAAGTCGAATTTTCATCAAGAACAAGTATAATCCTGTTTTCTCTCGGTGTTGAGTGGTTTGAGCGCGAAGTTGTTGTGTATGTGCATTTTAAATTATATTCTGATTTATTTAACTGACTAGACTGAGCCAACATTTGCGGGCAGTCATTGTGGCGCATACCGCGTTTTAGCCTCCCATTCTCTGTTATTCGTAGGCGAGCTTGGTCGTGAGCACCGGGTCGCTCCCCACTTTCTTGCTATTCTTTGCTTCGCTTCGCCCTTTCCAGGCACTGAAGAGTACGGGAAATTTAATTGCGAGGCAATCCTTCTAACTGAAGTGTAATGCACTGATAGGTCTCCATGATTTCTGAATATATGAGCACGTAAATCTCATTTTCCCATTTTGTTGTTGTCTTGTATTCCTAGTAAAAGGGAGGCTTCCACAATAAATTTATTAGACTAATCAAGGAGTCCTGACTACTTATGCTTCTGATTTCGTTAAGAATCCCGGAACATTCTCAATCCTACACTTACCAGTAAGTCCATCGTCATTGTCAGCGTTTGGACAAGGGCAGATGGTGGACTTGATGCACTAGCGAGTAGATGGCTTCAAGAAGGTAATTCGTTTGATGAAAGGCTTGCTGCACTCGACTACTGTTATCATAGGAAAGAGGTGAAATTACTTCCAGGTTTTT